TGGTGAAACCTCATCTCTACTAAAAATGCAAAAATTAGCAGGGCATGGCACACCTGTAGTTCCAGCAGTACTCACAAGGCTGAGGCAGGAGAATCGCTTGAATCCAGGAGGTGGAGGTTGCAGTGAGCCAAAATCATGCCATAGAACTCCAGCCTGGGTGACAGTACGAGAATCCATCTCAAAAAAAAAAAAAAAGGATGGGGACGGAGGCTCGAGCCTGTAATCCTAGCACTTTGGGAGGCTGAGGCGGGTAGATCACCTGAGGCCAAGAGTTTGAGATCAGCATGGCCAACATGGTGAAGCCCCATCTCGACTAAAAATACAAAAATTAGTCGGGTATGGTGGCATACGCCTGTAGTCCCAGCTACTCGGGAGGCTGTGGCAGAAGAATCGCTTGAACCTGGGAGGTGGAGGTTGTAGTGAGCCGAGATCGTGCCATTGCACTCCAGCCTGGGTGATAGAGTGAGACTCTGTCTTTAAAAAAAAAAAAGAAAAAGAAAAGAAACCTACTCTGAAAAAAACACAGTAACATGGAACTTCAAAACAATAATAAGAGAAATGTTCACTCATAAAATCTGGTATGCAACATTGATGTTATCATTTTAAAAAACATTGTTAGGCCAGGTGCAGTGGCTTACATCTGTAATGTCAGCACTATGGGAGGCCGAGGCGGGCAGATCACCTGAGGTCAGGAGTTTAAGACCAGCCTGACCAACATGGTGAAACCCCATCTCTACAAAAAATACAAAAATTAGCTGGGCATGGTGGCACATGCCTGTAATTGCAGCTACTTGGGAGGCTGAGGCATGAGAAACGCTTGAAGCCAGGAGGTGGAGGTTGAGGTGAGCCAAAATCACACGCACCACTGCACTCCAGCCTGGGTGACAGAGCGTGACTCTATCTCAAAAAAAAAAAAAAAAAAAAGGTCTACAGGTGTACTCATTAAATGCGGGTATTTTGAATCACTGGCATGCACTGTGTGGCAGTACAATTTCAGAGACTATGCAGTATCATTATACATAGAAGATTCTAATGAGAAATTTTTAATAAATAATGATTTAAAAGAAACTAGTGTTACTTTTTATGTTTTAAATATTCTTACACAAAATGAAACTGCTGTAATCAACTTTAGAAGAAAAGAATAGACTTATATTGTTAAATAAAGAAAAATATATATATTTTGCAGAGTGGGGTTAGACCCTCCGATATGTAAAACAAATATTAGGAAATAAACTATGTTATTATTTAGATATAAGCTGAAGAAAGTAGATGAAAATTCTGTAATTCCTTTTTGCCTGCAGCAAACTTAAATTTATAAGTAACTATTGTAGTAAATATGGAGTGTCTACTAATTACCTAATTTACTTCTGGCCATGCAAATTCTAGCGTATTGTCCTAAACATCTGAATCTAAAATTACAGACAAATTTGAAACAGAAAACAGAAAGTAAAAATGTATAGGGACAGTGACCTCACCAAGATGAAAAGATTAAAAGTCCCCTATTTTCATATCCCTTTACAGCAAAAAAATGTCAGCCATCCCTGACCAGAATGCCTTTATGAGAGAACCAGGCTAATGCCTGGTTACAGGCATTACCAGCTTACACCTGTAATGACAGCTCCATGATACATTAAGGTTGGAGAAATGCTTCAGGCCAGGATGTTGAGACCAGTCTGCGTTATGTAGCAAGACCCCATCTCCAAAATAAGTGCCTGTAAGATTTCAGATCCAGAGAGGGAGTTCTGAAACGCTGTTAAAGCTTAAGATTGAGAAGTGTTCTATTCAGAAGGCAGGCCCTCATTCAGGTGGGAAACTACAGGACCCCTGTTCTTGGCTACAGACCAAGATAGGGTTCACTCAACTTGGTCTGACTGAGAATTCTGAACTTACTCTGAAACTATGCGAAACTCCTCCCAGCCACAGTCTGGGAGAGGTCCTGCCATTCCAGAGACCTGGAGGAAGGCACCCGTCTACAGCCATGTAGGCAGACCTGCAGACCTTGGCCTTTACTGTGGTCCCTGAAACAGTTCAGTGACTCAGTTTCAGTTACCTGAGCCACAGTTTATGGCCAGTTCTGCCTATATAGAAACCCATACAGTTACCTGAGGAAATATTCTCTGGTACTCACTGAAAACCGTACTCATCCATATCCTGATACAAGGCCCACCATATGCAGACCCGACTGCAAAAACATGCCCTAGTGTCTGCCCTACAGAGCAAAGTCCTGAAGGGTATTCAGTCTGTCCAAAAATAAAATGGGAATTACAACTACCCAAGTCCCTGTATCAAGCCAACTAAAGGTGGACCATAGTGCAGACCCAGCAGCCTTGTGACCAATCTACAATCCCTCTTCACTACAAATTCAGAGGGCATCTCATCACGTTAAGGGCCCAATAAAATAAGATTTTTTACCTTCTAAAAAATCAGTTTAGGAAAACTTGAAGAGGTGTTTTTCTCCATCAAATTTAGACACCGATACAAAACTATATTGTGCCCATTGTCAATGCTTCTATTTTAATCTAGCACTGGATGTGGCAGAATAATTAGTCAAATAAATAAAAAAATCCACTGAAACAGAAAAATACGTAAAATGCTGTTGGTAGATCATACAATCTTATATTTAAAAAACCATACACAGTACTTTTACATTGGCTGAGGAATGGTTTACCAACTATACGGTCAATTTTGTCAATTTTTTTTTTTTTTTTTTGAGACGGAGTCTTGCTCTGTCACCCAGGCTGGAGTGCAGTGGCCGGATCTCAGCTCACTGCAAGCTCCGCCTCCCGGGTTTACGCCATTCTCCTGCCTCAGCCTCCCGAGTAGCTGGGACTACAGGCGCCCGCCACCGCGCCCGGCTAGTTTTTTGTATTTTTAGTAGAGACGGGGTTTCACCGTGTTAGCCAGGATGGTCTCGATCTCCTGACCTCGTGATCCGCCCGCCTCGGCCTCCCAAAGTGCTGGGATTACAGGCTTGAGCCACCGCGCCCGGCCAATTTTGTCAATTTTGTCTATTCAGGACATAGGCATGAGCAAGGACTTCATGACTACAACACCAAAAGCAATGGCAACAAAAGCCAAAATAGACAAATGAGATCTAATTAAACTAAAGAGCTTCTGCACAGCAAAAGAAACCACCATCAGAGTGAACAGGCAACCTACAGAATGGGAGAAAATTTTTGCCATCTACCCATCTGACAAAGGGCTAATATCCAGAATCTACAAATAACTTAAACAAATTTACAAGAAAAAAAAAACCATCAAAAAGTGGGCAAAGAATATGAACAGACACTTCTCAAAAGAAGACATTTATGCAGCCAACAGACACATGAAAAAATGTTCATCATCACTGGTCATCAGAGAAATGCAAATCAAAACCACAATGAGATACCATCTCATACCAGTTAGAATGGCAATCATTAAAAAGTCAGGAAACAACAGATGCTGGAGAGGATGTGAAGAAATAGGAATGCTTTTACACTGTTGGTGGCAGTGTAAACTAGTTCAACCATTGTGGAAGACAGTGTGGCGATTCCTCAAGGATCCAGAACTAGAAATACCATTTGACCCAGCCATCCCATTACTGGGTATATACCCAAAGGATTATAAGTCATGCTACTATAAAGACACATGCACACGTATGTTTATGGTGGCACTATTCACAACAGCAAAGACTTGGAACCAACCCAAATGTCCATCAATGACAGACTGGATTAAGAAAATGTGGCACATATACACCATGGAATACTATGCAGCCATAAAAAAGGATGAGTTCATGTCCTTTGCAGTGACATGTATGAAGCTGGAAACCATCATTCTGAGCAAACTATCACAAGGACAGAAAACCAAACACTGCATGTTCTCACTCATAGATGGGAACTGAACAATGAGAACACTTGGACATGGGCGGGGAACACCACACACTGGGCCCGGCCTGTCGTGGGGTGGCGGGTTGTGGGAGGGATAGCATTAGGGGAAATACCTAACATAAATGATGAGTTAATGGGTGCAGCAAACCAATATGGCACATGTATACCTATGTAACAAACCTGCATGTTGTGCACATGCACCCTAGAACTTAAAGTATAATACAAAAACAAAAACACACATAGTACATTAAAACCTGTCTAAACTAATAAATACACTAATTAAATTAGCAAAATATTAACATAAAAGTATATCTATGGTTTCATAGTTTAACTATCTGATAAAATAAAGAACAAATCTTATTTACTATAGCATTAAATAATAAATTTCTGAAGAAAAAATTAACCAAGGAGTTAATACAAAAAAAAAAAAAAAAATCAGAGAAGATCCAAGTAAATTTTAAAATAGTTTATGTCTATGGATTGAAAGATTAAATATTATTGAAGTGCCATATTACCCAAAGTAATCTATAGATTCAATAAACTTCCTATTAAAATTGCAGTGGTATTTTTTTCACAGTAATGGAGAATACAATTCTAAAATTTACATGAAACTAAAATAAACTTTGAATAGCCAAAGCAATCATGAGGAAAAAGAACAAAGCAGGATATCATACTTAAAATTTCAAGCTATATATTTCAAGACTATATAGTAATAAAAACAAAAATGGACAAAAAAGTGGAACAGAATCTAATATACATTTAAGACCTGATGCAAAACGAGAACTTAAAAAGGTCTTAGTTTCTCAAAAATCATTTGTGTGTCCCCAAAACAATGGAAAAGCAGCCAGATTGTGCAGTCTGTTAGCTGTCATGAAGAGGACTTTGGCTCTCACTGTGAACTTGAAGGAAGCTCACTGAAAGAAAAGTAGAATCCCTAGAGAATTTAAAAACATAAGACAGATGCCTCTTTGTAAGAGCAAAATTAAAAAAAAAAAAAAAAAAAAAAAAAGCTGCCCAGGAACTATTTCCTTGGGAACACAGCTTCCCATATAACATTTTAAGGACTCGCTTTCTCTTTGACCTTGGGACCTCTTATCTGTGTCGTCTGTTGTGTTCATTTTCACTCACACCTACCTGGGGGTTTGGCAATCATCTCATGTCTCTTCATAGTTAAAGGTTTTTTTCCTTGCTCCAGACAGGTGATCAGGTCTGGTTTAGAGACAACAATACCTGTTTTATTAAGAATAAATAACATGAATCTTGCTCATATTCTCCAATTACAAGCTAGTAATGTGCTCAGCAGAGAGGATGTGATAAAATATTCTAGTAAATAAATACTAAAATACTAAGTTATAACAGAAATTTCTTTCTTTTTTTTTGAGATGGAGTTTCGCTCTTGTTACCTAGGCTGGAGTACAATGGCTCGATCTTGGCTCACCACAACCTCCACCTCCCGGGTTCAAGCTGTTCTCCTGCCTCAGCCTCCCGAGTAGCTGGGATTACAGGCATGCGCCACCATGCCCGGCTAATTTTTGCATTTTTAGTACAGGCAGGGTTTCACCATGTTAGTCAGGCTGGTCTCGAACTCCTGACCTCAAGTGATCCACCTGCCCAGCCTCCCAAAGTGCTGGGATTATAGGCGTGAGCCACCACGCCTGGCCTATAACAGAAATTTCTAAATATTTAGAAAATACTTTCAGTTTGTAGGTTTCTTAATTTTACTACCTGGTACTACTAAAATCAAAAATTGGTGGTGGCAATTAGATTTTTAGGTGGGGGCAACAATATTTTATGCCACTAAATTTCTGGAATTACCACTAATTTGGAGTGAAGAATAAAGCTCAACTCAGGAATGTGGAAAGTTTGGATTAAGATGAAACATCTTGAAAAAATTCTTTTCTAAATGAACAAACTCTGAAAATAGTTTATGTCTGGAAAAAGGGTATCTGGAACTCTTGTATGCAAAGAAAAAGAGTATCTGAAACTCTTGTATGCAAAGAATAAATTACTAAAAAACATTCTACAAAAAAGAGAAATAAAACCTTTAGGGTATATTATTAATTAGGTACTCAAGTTATCCTCACCAAGGAAGACCAGGTTTCTGTAGTTCTCTAACATCACATCCCTATATAAATTCCGCTGTGCAGTGTCCAGGCAATGCCACTCCTCCAGAGAGAATTCTATGGCCACATCTCTAAATTGTAATGGTCCCTGAAAAACACACACACACATATTTTTACCAAGTGGCCATGGGCGGAATTTTTAATTTGACTTAAGGTGAAATTAGAGAGTAAAGAGAAGTGGTTCTGACTTATAGGATTAGAATTATCCAATAAAATGTTTTCAACACAGAAATATTCTCTAACTCTGAGAAAAAAGAGCAGCACAAGATCCACATCAGTTCATATATTTTTCTAAAGTATAAAATTAAGGCCATGAACACGAACATGTACATTTTTGAGTGCTATATTTACATCATACGGAATGAGTTGTGAATATTTTTCAGACAGAAATGCTGAGTTAGAAGGCACCTCTCAAATTTTAATATGTACAATAAGCTGAAGACCTTGTTATGCAGATGCAGGGTTTTTTTTTTGTTTTTTTTTTTCCCCAGAAGATCTTATTTACTTATTTATTTATAGATTTATTTATAGATGGAGTTTCACTCTTGTTGCCCAGGCTGGAGTGCGATGGCGCCATCTTAGCTCACCAGACGCCGCCTCCCGGGTTCAAGCAATTCTCCTGCCTGAACCTCCCGAGTAGCTGGGATTACAGTCATGCACCACCACGCCCGGCTAATTTTTTGTTTCGTATTTTTAGTAGAGATGGGGTTTCTCCATGTTGGTTAGGCTGCTCTTGAACCCCCAACCTCAGGTGATCCGCTGCTTCAGCCTCCCAAAGTGCTGGGATTACAGGCATGAGCCACCGCGGCCCGCCAATTTTTTGAATTTCTAACACACCAGTAATGCAAATGTTTTTGGCCCAAGAGGGATATTTTTTCAAACATTTACTAAGTGGAAGAGCCTGTGTTTTTCCCATATTTTCTAGCCTATAAACAAAGAGCCCTCATTTATCAAAGAAAAATATGCAGGGAAAAAATAAGAAAGGACAGCTGCCAGATTAAATATGATGGTTTATGCACATCAGCTGCATAAAGATACTTAATAATAAAGAGAAAAATAACTCTATAGTGAAAAAAATCTATCAGACAGCTGCTTAACCAAGTGAATTATTAACCATTAACTGCACTAGGGCAGATTTTTATGTTGTGCTAATGCTCACAGAAGAACACAGCATCACTGTTGAAATATTCCCCCCAAAAAAGAAAATTATAGTCTGAATTTAACCATAAAGAAACATTAGTTTTAGGCCGGGTGCGACGGCTCACACTTGTAATCCCAACACTTTGGGAGGCACGAGGTGGGCGGATCATGAGGTCATGAGTTTGAGACCAGCCTGACTAACAGGGTGAAACCCTGTCTCTACTAAAAATACAAGAATTAGCTGGGTGTGGTGGCAGGCACCTATAATCCCAGCTACTTGGAAGGCTAAGGCAGGAGAATTGCTTGACCCTGGGAGGCGAAGTTTGCAGTGAGCCGAGATCGCGCCACTATACCCCTGCCTGGGTGACAGAGTGAGACTCTGTCTCAAAAGCAAAAAAAAAAAAGGAAAAAGAAAGAAACATCAGTTTTATGGAGACCTTCACTTAGCACCCTAGAGAGCAGATATCTCCTAATAATTGTTTTCAGAACTTTCTGGGTAATAAATGCCATCCCATTTTAATACGTATTTTTTTTTTTTTTTTGAGACGGAGTCTCGCTCTGTCGCCCAGGCTGGAGTGCAGTGGCCGGATCTCAGCTCACTGCAAGCTCCGCCTCCCGGGTTTACGCCATTCTCCTGCCTCAGCCTCCTCAGTAGCTGGGACTACAGGCGCCCGCCACCTCGCCCGGCTAGTTTTTTTGTATTTTTTTAGTAGAGAAGGGGTTTCACCGTGTCAGCCAAGATGGTCTCGATCTCCTGACCTCGTGATCCGCCCATCTCGGCCTCCCAAAGTGCTGGGATTACAGGCTTGAGCCACCGCGCCCGGCCAATACGTATTTTCTTAATCCCATTGTGCACAGAGCTAATGGAACACACAGATGGAGCCTCAACATTACATGTTCTACATCTTTACTAAGGACCAGAGTTTTCCCCCAATAGAAATCTTGAGTATCCACATCTTTCTATGTTCAACCGCCACAAAGGACACATTTTTAATATTGCAGATCATTGCCGGGCGCGGTGGCTCAAGCCTGTAATCCCAGCACTTTGGGAGGCCGAGACGGGCGGATCACGAGGTCAGGAGATCGAGACCATCCTGGCTAACACCGTGAAACCCCGTCTCTACTAAAAAATACAAAAAAAACTAGCCGGGCGAGGTGGCGGGCGCCTGTAGTCCCAGCTACTCGGGAGGCTGAGGCAGGAGAATGGCGTAAACCTGGGAGGCGGAGCTTGCAGTGAGCTGAGATCCAGCCACTGCACTCCAACCTGGGCGACAGAGCAAGACTCCGTCTCAAAAAAAAAAAAAAAAAAAAAAAATTGCAGATCATAAATTATTGCTGAGAATCCTGCATGGCATATAAGAAGCTATGATGCAGCAAATAAAGAGAAGTCTCTGAGATATAGGAAAGAAATATTTTTCAGAGACCCTTGACTATCATAAGAATTTTAACAAGTAGTTAAACCAAACTCATTAGGGAGGAAAAACACAAGTAGAGAAGTAAAGGTGTGTGAGTACTAAATGCATGGCAGTCCAGGAGGAAGAGTGGACACAGCTCTTCATCTGACACACGTTTACCTGAAGAAAAGCCTTTTTTTTCTTCCTCCTCCTCCTCTGGAATTCATTCTCAGATGAGACTCTCTGGATAAATTACACCTGCATCTTGACAATATGCCTTTAAAGGTGTCAGTATTACATGTTTACCTGCTAGGATGACATCAACTGGCAGAAAAAGAAAAAGTCAACCCATTTCTGTCCTTTAAAACAGAAGAGATTCAGGCACCATGAGCTGCTCCATGAAGATAAAAACATGTTTCTCCTTTCCTGTCCTCAGGTGCCCTCCCCTGCCACAGACACCAGTAATTTCTGTTACAGTAATGCAAATATGTGCCACACTGACCTGTCCCTATCAAACCCAAATAGAACAGGCCCTGTGACCACCCTAGAGTACAAAGGTGGAACTTTACTCTCATGAATGTATTTTGAAGCCCTCATACCTGATTCTGGCCTCACCTTAGAGTCATATGAGGCCCTTCATTAAAACAACATGGATGCTTCCACCCACAACAATAAACAGAAGCTGTGGGGAGGGCACAAGAGGTTTCTGCAAATTGACCATGTGATCCTAAGGAGAAGCCTGGGCTGATAACCACTAAGCTAAGCATTGCTTCTCAGGCTTTAACGAGTTTATGAATCACTTGGTAATTTTGGCCTCACTTTAGCCCCCTTGTCACAACCAAATACTTCTGGCACAAATAAGGACAACCCATCTCCATCCTAAAGTTTTATATTCTTTGCTGGCTATTTAAAGTTTACAGACGGCCGGGCGCGGTGGCTCAAGCCTGTAATCCCAGCACTTTGGGAGGCCGAGACGGGCGGATCACAAGGTCAGGAGATCAAGACCATCCTGGTGAACACGGTGAAACCCCGTCTCTACTAAAAAATACAAAAAACTAGCCGGGTGTGGTGGCAGGCGCTTGTAGTCCCAGCCAGTCGGGAGGCTGAGGCAGGAGAATGGCGTGAACTCGGGAGGCGGAGCTTGCAGTGAGCTGAGATCCGGCCACTGCACTCCAGCCTGGGCGACAGAGCGAGACTCCGTCTCAAAAAAAAAAAAATTAAAATAAAGTTTACAGACAAAACAGAAGGCAGCAATGTCTGAATAAGTCTGTATTTAAAAAGGAACATGTGTACACATGTACTAATGCAATGTTTATTAAACAGGCACTATGTGCTTAAGGGTATGATGCAGAGCACTGTGCTGGGCATAACACATTATGTGATTTAATTCTCATAACACCCTGGGAGCTGGTACTAAGGGTTTCATAATTTCCAGGATTTAGATAAAGGTCCCAGCATTTTTATTTCTTCTTCTATTTCTCAGTCATCAAATTTTTTTTAATTGTGTAGAATAAAAGCCAAATATAGACAGATGAAAGAGATATAGAAGGAAGAGTTTAATGTAGTATACAGAAAATTTTATTCTATTCATATTTACTTTTTTGTGACTTATGGAACAACTACTGGATCTTCAGGAATAGAAAACAAGTTGCTAATCAGAATGTCTCTGCCAGCACTGGTTTTAATACAACAGTTAAAAACTAAGACTCTAAAATACATACTTTATTTTTCCCATTTATTTGCTTTTGGGTTTCAGGAAATTGTGAGCACCAGCTCTAGAAACTTACTAGGATTTATCAGCCAAAACTCTGATCTCTTTTAATCAGTTCTGTGAGGCAAGACTCCAAGGTAGGGTCAGAACTCAATAAAGGCTCCAAAAAGGGTGTCTCTGCGGCTGGTCGCAGTGGCTCACGCCTGTAATCCCAGCACTTTGGGAGGCCAAGGCAGGCAGATCATGAGGTCAGGAGATCGAGACCATTCTGGCTAACACGGTGAAACCCTGTCTCTACTAAAAATACAAAAAAATTATCTGGGCGTGGTGGTGGACGCCTGTAGTCCCAGCTACTCGGGAGGCTGAGGCAGGAGAATGGCATGAATCCAGGAGGCAGAGCTTGCAGTGAGCTGAGATCGCTCTACTGCACTCCAGCCTGGGTGACAGACTCCGTCTCAAAAAAAAAAAAAAAAAGGGGGGGGGAATCCGAACAGATCTGGGGCAGGGTGAGGACGCTATATAGAATTCTGTTCTCTATGCCACTGGGGTACTTCCAGTTTTGTTTTTTCTAAGCTTACCTAAAAGAAACTTAAATCCAGAGCTTCTGCAATTTTAATCCTTTCTAGCCACTGCCCTGTCAACTTTATACTATATACTAATATGCAATTTAAACAAAACAAATCCCTTCACGTCTTCTAGGGTAATTTTGTTTTTTGTTTTGTTTTGAGATGCAGTCTCACTCTGTCGTCTAGGCTGGAGTACACTGGTGCAATCTCGGCTCACTGCAACCTCTGCCTCCCAGGTTCCAGTGATTCTTCTGCCTCAGCCTCCCAATTAGCTAGA